GACGCCTGTCTCGGACACGATGTTCTTGTCGCTTGTACGCTTGCGGCTTTATCGCCGACCATGACCTGCCTCGGCACGTAGGACTGGAGCAACCGCGTGCACGCGACGCCCGACCCCAAGATCGCCGTGAGCCAGTCCAACAGGTCGAGAATCATGCTTGACGTATTTGCTCGGTTGCTCAATATGCCACGTAGCAACCTCTCGGTGTGGCAACAGACGCCGTCCGGCCTCGAGGCCATCCGCGAGGTAGCATCCATCCTATCCATATCTTGAGACGACAGATCTATAACGAAGCCATGGCATAGTGGCGCGCCCACGACATGTTTGGGCAAGACATTGAGGTGTGGATCACGGCGTGGCATGCGCACGTGGAGCACGTACTCTACTCGGGCGGGGACGACGCCGTCTTCAAAGGGTACAATGTCTTGGCGTGAATCAGGTACGATGCGGCGTAGATGGGATCTTCGCATGGACCGACCGACCTTTCTCAAGCGCGACGTGCATTCGATGGGCGTCTGCAGCGTGCAGTCGCACCCGCTCGACGAGCACTTGGTGGCGGTCGGCAGCTACGACGAAGCGATCACGCTCTGGGACGCACGCCACATGTCGACGCCACTGCTGCGTCACGAGACGGGCGGCGGCGTCTGGCGTCTCAAGTGGCATCCCGAGCAAAAGGTATAGTTTAACTTGCTATGCGATCGGATAGATATATCTCTGGGTGTAGACGTGGCTCCTCGCGGCGTGTATGCACAACGGGTTCCAGATCCTCGACATGTCGCCCGAAGGCTCCGACATGCGCGTGCACTACACCAAGCAAACGTCGCTCGCGTACGGCGTCGACTGGTGGTACGGCGAGCCGTCGACGCGCACGGTCGGCAGTGGGTCGTTCTACGACCACTCGTTCCACGTCTGGTCGGCCGACGACTTGGCTATGTGAGGTCCTACAAGGCCATAAATGACACATTTGGTACCATAACGTTAAAGGATTCGTTGCAAATGTTTACCAGTTAAATTTGTGGCACATTTCTCTGGATGGCAGTGCAATGACTGCACGGCCCTCGTCGTCGCGAGTGTCAAGGACATTTTGTTGTCTCTTTCCCGAGTCACCCGAACAGAACAGGGAATCTCACTGCTTGTGATGGTGAGAATGAAAATGAAGCGCGATGCTGATTGGCTCATGGTATCGTTATGGTTGTCAAGATCGGACCAATGAACGCGCGTCGTTCAAGTGACACAATGAACACACATCGTTTTGGATACGTATTTCAAACCGAGCGCGATCAAAACACCACTACTGGCTACGCCTCGAGACTAGACAAATGCCGAGAATTAAGTGTTCGTGCTCGCACTCCACGCTTACCACTCGGAGAGAGACAGCAATGGCGTTGCTTCGTAGCGCAAGCGCCCGTCGTAGTCACGTCCGACCTACACATATCGTAACGATACCGGTCCCGCGGTTCTACCTCGGGACAATCACGCAGCGCGAAGAACCACGGCAGCGTCACAAGGTGTTCGCCAACGGTGAGCGCAGCGAACGAAATGCTGACCGCGAGTGCGACACAGAACGGCACATAGTGGGCCTCGTTGGAGCGACTGTCTAGGGCATCAATTGTGCACTACACCGATAATACAAGCACGAGACGGTACAGTGAAGAACAAACGAGAAACCAACCAAGAACGAGAAAGACGAGGACAGTCGAAGCGCCGTAGATGGCAACAACGACTGACGCCGACGCGTTCCGGACGCACAGAGGAATCTGAGTTCGCATGTACCATCGCGTCTCCTTCATGGCCTCGCGCCGCTTCTCTGGCGGCAACTACACCACGGCTGTCAGACGCACTTGGCCTATACGGACGGAGCACCTGGCGCCACTGCACATGACGGGCGACCCGATAGCGCGGCCAGAGCACATAGTACCGAACCTGCATTTGAATGATTCGAGTGAGTCGAAAGATGTAGTACGCACCACAGTGTAGATGATCCAGAGCACATAGAACCCAACCATGAATGCTAAAGAGCTTCGTATCGCCTCGAAACTCGTATTTTCGGGCGGCTGGGAATTGCAGTAGATACCAGCGACCAGAACAAGCGAGCTCATCACTGCCGGAATGCTATAGATGAAAAGCGCTCGCCGCTCGAGAACATCGAGAAAGTCGTCCGAGAGGCACGGGGGGCAAGTCGACAAGAGAGAATAGGCCCGCATGCGTCGTTCCTCTCACAGCCAAAAGAACTCTGAGCCGGCACGACTTGCAATGATACAATCCGTCGCAAGCCACATCTTGGTGAATTCACACACGTCTATAGCAACACTACGAGCATCTCTCGCGTCTTTGAGCAGAGATGTCGAGCCCAAGAGGTGCGAAAATCAACACAATCGAGCACAGTCCCACATGTACCTCAACTTTTCGATTTCAGGCCCACAGCCAGAGTCCGCAAGGGTACTCGAGATCGCTGCGAGCGCCATTGACAAGAGCAGGCATGGTCGAGGCCTCCATGAAGCTGATGGCGGTGTCGTCAAGCAGGTTGCCCGTATTAGAACGACAGTACTAGTACAGCAGAGTCCTTCTCGACACCAGCCATACCGGAATTGGTCCGACGAGCGTCATCCTCACGTCCAAGTGACAAGAAGCATTGCAGCTATACCTGGTATGAACAGCGACTGAAAGTGGCACGTATGGGGGCGTGCGTGCGTGTGCCACGTACTGCAGCGCACCTTGGAGATCACAGGCTCAACATGGCGCTTGGCAGAATGAAAGCCGTCAAGGGCCAATAAGAAATGCATTGCTTATGGACCGTTGAAGCCGCAAACCTGCACGCGTGCGCCAAAAGCTTAGTGCTGCATCGGTACTTGGGCTGCATCGAGCAGAGTGCTTTAGAACCTAGTTGCAGTGTATACACTACTACGGCGCTCGGTACACGTTAAACGACAGCGCGACAAAGGACTTAGACGGGCATCGCGAACGGAATACGCTCGTCGCTCATCGCAGTCAGGCCAAGCTACACATGGTGTCTCTCAATACCAGTGCAATTATGTATGAGGGAAAAGATGGCTACCTCGGGGCAGAGGTACAACGCAGCGTAGAGTGGAAGCTGCACATAGAGGTACTGCAGCGCGACCGTCACCGTGGTCACAGCCACGACACCAAGAAGGTAGATTGTCGGTGCATCGAGCACGATCTGGTTGTACCAGACGATCGTCGCCTACTCATGCCAAAAATCTTCCTAGATCTGAACTGGGTTCGTACCAGAAACGTCAGCACAACCACCGACCAAATCGACCAGCGCGTCCAGTAGTGCACTTGAATTCCTTCCAGCGACGTCTGCGACCCAAACTTTTCCATGTGGTACTCGGTCAAGCGAATAAAGTGACCCAGCGTCATGTGCCGGGCGTCCGTGCCGTACATCTACAGCCCATCCGATCACTTTGCACTGACATATATGTCGTTTATAGTAATACCTGCTGCCAGTAGTAGGGGCCCGACCGGCGTGCGTTTGGCCACGTGCTGCAGTACCGAATCTACGACACTAATGTCCACGCCGTCGAGTACAACAAAGCTGACAGTACCGAGAACTTGAGAAAGACAGCCAGCACAAACACAGCACCCCACACGATGGGGCTACGCCATGGTGCCGACAACGTCGGCAGGGCGACGGAGGACGGGCTTGGCGTCATGCTCATGGCCGCCGCGACCGGTGTGACGACGACGACGCACCAGAGAAATGACAAGACAAAGCGCGTGCGCTCGATAGCTTCGAGGAAGTCGAGGCCGACGATTGGCGGGAACTCGCGCACCGTCCACTCGGGCGTCTGCGGCGGGCACATGGGAAAATACGGCAATGTGGTCATTTCTTAGTCGTCAGCGAATGTAGGTCCATTCATTCCTCTCCATTCTCCAACCGAGTCAGGTTCCATATTGAGCTTTTTGTAGTGCAAAATACTGGGATACTGCTGTTGTTTAAGGTCTCAAGTATGGGACGTAAACGATTATACAGGGTCGTGTGGACCATGAGAAGGGTGCTCTTGAGAGCCATTAGAATTGGAATGGCTTGGACTGGCGATACGACATCAACCAATCACCTCGAGTTATGCGACACTGACTGTGTCCAATGTGCAGTCGCCATTCTATCTCTTCGTTTGCACACATTGTCTTATCCACGAGATAGGAAAAAGTATATACACGATCGACTATCGACTGCACCCTTGCGCACCGAACGACAACACTCGAGGGGACCATTGAACATTCCGCACCGACATTGTGACAGAACCAACAGTGTTAACTAATTAAGAGCCTCCGGGTACAAGTGTTTGCAAATTCATTACATGTCATACCACGAGTGATCAGCGACACCCTTCGTGGTTTGAAACTCAACTACAAATTTAGCCGTGTGGCGATCGTCGTTTCAGCATGATGCGCGGGCGCCATGAAGCCGCGATTGACGCGTCGATCGGGCTCGTCACGCGCAAGGAGATGGAAGACATGCGCAAGCAAGCGCTGGACTTGGCCGCGAGCGGGTACGCCCACTTTGCTTTCAGCGCGCTCGAACACTCGCTAGTCGCGTCATCTTGACGGTCGCGCCCGACCAGCCACCACCAGCGTACTACGTCCAAGGCGACCTCGATTTCTACTCGGATGTACCTTGTCCTATCGTGGCGGTTCTTATTTAAGAGAGTTGACGGGTATAGGACAACCTCAAGGTGCGCATGAGCTTGCGGCCGCACCCGACCATGGCGCGGCTGACGCGGCTCTTCTGGAAAGCCATCGTCGTGTCGCCTGCAATCGCAATGAACTACAAGGGCTACGAACAGCTCTTTCTCTTGATCCACAAGGTTCTCATCGAGCTCTTCGCCCTCGACGAGTCAGTAGCGCAAATCCAAGTACGTCGCATGGTGATCGTCGATCGTGTTATTCACAAGACAAGTAGGAAGACTGGTCCCACGACGTCTCGGCCCACGAGGCGTACATCGAGTACCCGCCGTTCCACGAGTCGTTGTTTGAGCTCATCGGTGCTGCCTTGCATCCATGCTACTAAAACTGAACGCGAGCGTAGATATCTGGTGCGACTCGATCGAGATTGAGGACGTACGACTCGTACCGACACGGGCTTGAGTTTCAAATACGTCACTAGTACGCCAACATGCTCTACCTGCTCTGGAAGAGCGTCATGGACTATCCGCCAAGCGGAGGCCGAGCCATTTTGCGCCACCTCTCGGGTGCATTTTGTTTCTTACAGCGCAAACTCAAATCGCCACAACTAGACGTCTCCTTCAAGGACATTGTATCGCTCGTCCGCAACCATCCACTCACGATCGCCGAGATTGAGCTTAAGATTGAGCAAGCGGGGAAACCGCTCAAGCTACCGCCGCTGCACGCACCATCGCCCCTCAGCGCAGTCATTGAAGCCACGTCCGATACCTCCCTTGGCAGCGACGGCTCGGAGAAGGACGGCGATGTTCGCGTTGTGGAATGCGCCGCCGCAGTGGCACCTTTGCCGGAAGGCTATATCAAAACGAGTGTCGCCCACACAATGGCGTCGACTCTACCAAGCCTTGCACCGCCCCGTGTCGAAGTGGCCGCATTGTTGGCCCCTGTAACATCCGGTGCCAACATGACGAACCTGCCATCGCTCGCGCGTCGTCATATCGACAATCAGATCGACAATGGCAAGCTCGATGAGGAAGACCCTTCCAGTCACCGACGTCGCACCGAGCTATGTAGCGCCGTGGACGACCGAGTCACAGCAGCAACCGAGGCACGGACCGCCCTTTGCTTGACTCCTCGCATCTCGCCGTGGCGGTACCGCTTTGTCAAGATGCCCCCAACTCGCAGCCAAGTGACGCTAACGTCAACACCGATGCTGATGCCACGGGGAAGCCCCCCCAAGACGGCCATTGTGTGGGGGGCGTCGCAGCTCGCACTCTCTCACAGTGGCGTCGCACCGCCGACACGCGGATCATCAAGTCGACACCGGCACACACGTCCGTGCACCAACGGCAGTATCTTTGCCGCCGCGGTCCAGACCCCACTCGGTACATTAGTATCGTCGTTTTCAAGACATTGCTACAGTACATGTGATAGATACCAACTTGAGCGTCGACGGGCGGTCCCCGCGCAAGCCCTCGACGGCCCGCGACCGTGTTTACTTTCTTGGTGACAGCAATGCGCTGGACGACAACGCGGTCATTATGAACGTGGGCCGAGGCGGTCTCTGCGGCGAGCTCATGGTCATCCCGCTCTCGCCGCCGCGAAAAAGGGACCCGGCGCGATCGCTCGTCACCAATCATACGCGCAGCTCCTTTATAGATGACCAATGGACGCCGCAGCTGCTCGCAGTGCGCAGTCCGATGAAGGTGACGCCGTTGAGTAGCCACTTGCCGACACCGAGCGCACCGCCATTGGCACAGCTCTTTCCCCGGGCCGTCTCGCTCATGCCGCGAGCCGCCGCGCCGAGCAAACCGTTGGAGGAGCCGACCCAAGAGGCGTCACCACGGCTAAGAACGAGCCGCGTAAAGCCCGCGCTTCAGAAGCTACAGAGCGTGATCCACCTCCAGACGCTCGCGCGCAAGAAACCCAAGATACTATGGTGGATGCAGCACAAGTGGCACCAGCGCATGCCCGTTGCGCTGCAGCGAAGGAACGACGTGGTCCACACAACGCTCTT